CAGAAATTGAAATAAGATCATAAAAAATCGACTCATTAAAGAATTATGCTTCTCATAAGTTACCTTAAGAAATTGCAGACGTGTTTCTGTGACTGAAATTTTCACTTTAAAAACTGACCGCTTTGCTGCTGCATCTTCGGGAAGATGTGAACTACATCACAATTATTTGTGTTTCCAGAAAAAACAACACATAAAACAATGACGAGCAACACAATACACGCAATGCACTGCAGCCCCATGCTCGGGTAGTATCACGGCTTAGGAAAAAATCCAGGTAGCGCGATCTCGGGGATACGCGCATACCTACTATTATCAGATCAGGCATGAGCTGTCACTTCACGAGTCACTGTTCCTAAGAGGAAGTCACAGAATAGTTGTGCCCATAGAGTTACGCTCACACTTGGTACACTTAGCACATGAGAGTCACCAAGGCATTGTGGGTACCAAACAAAGACTCAGAGACCTGTACTGGTGGCCTAAGACGGATGCACTGGTGCAGTCTGTTGTTGCTTCATGCGTGCCCTGCCAGCTGAATGATAAAACGACAAGATCAGCCCCTGCAGCAATGACACCATGTCCTTTACCAGATGGACCTTGTGGGCCCCTTTGACACTGGCCCTCCCGATTGCAGGTTTGCTATTACTATGGTGGATTATTATTCAAAGTGGCCAGAGGTGTATTTTACCTACCAGTGCACTGCAACTACAGTGATTGCTTTCATGAGATCGGTGTTTAGCCAAAACGGAAACTCCTTAACTCTGGTGACAGATAATGGCCCTTAGCTAACTTCCTCAGAATTGGCTGATTTCCTGAAAGAACAAGGTATCCAGCATATCAGGACTACCGTTTACCACCCAGAAGGAAATGGAGCTGTGGAATGGCTAAATTAGAGTACTAAAAGAAAGCATTATCACTGCACAGAGAGAGAACTCTCCATGGAAAGAGAGTTCTCCGTGAGTTCCTTCAAGCTTACTGTAGGAATAATTAGCTCAGGTAAATTTTAATATCTCCACCAATATGTTTGAATTAATTCAAGTTTAATTAATTATTATTTAATGCTGTCAGGGTCAGCCCCCCACTGTGGTCCTTCCGTGCCCCTTCCCCGTTTGACCAGCAGGTGGTGCTGGTCATTCCGTCCTTCACGTCAGTCCTTGTTCTCCCCTGTCTCCTGTACCCGAGATGCCCGCAACCATGACAAATGCTGATTATTAATCAATCGTTATGCTGAATGGTCGGCTCCTCCAAACTCAATTGCGGTATCCCTGTGAGTCTGTTAATGT